TGTAAGGTGGATGCAGGGCATATTCTCAGGACACCGTATCAGCAGGCCTGACATTTGATCTACAGGAGCAAACTCAGTAGAGAGAGAGAGGGACAGTTTTGCCTGTAAATGTGAACTCTGACCTAAAGACGGCTGCTCAAAATAGCCCTCATCCTCTTTGCGTAAAACTGATATGCAAGCCTTTATCTCAGTTGCCCTTGGTCACCTGCCTTTCTTACTTGACTCTGCAATTCTCCAGGTGGCTATTCCTGGATGGCACTCATCCAGAAAGGATCATTGCTCCTTTTTCTCTTTATTTCACTACCGGAGATTATTTTGATAACATTACGATTTTACAAACCATAAAATTCATACATTTCAAGTGTACAATTCAATGACTTTTTTGGAAGGTTAAAAAGTTGTGCAACCATTACTGTAACGCAGTTTTAGAACATTTTCATCATCCCGGTTAGATCCTTTATGCCCAAGTAGTTAATTACCATCTTCACCCCCAACTCCAGGTACCCGCTAATCTACATTCTGTCTTTGTAGAATTGCCGTTTCAGGATACTTCACTTAAATGTAATCAGACTATACACAGTCATTTGTGTCTGGCTTCTTTCACTTACGTTTTTGAGGTTCATCCATGAGGTGGCATGTCAGTGATTTCTGTGATGGTGGGTTCCTGCTGCCCCTGCCCCCAAATTCCTTAAAGGTGCTAAGCCACCTGCTCTTCGAATAACCCCCGCCGCTTTCCCCTAGGCTCTCCTGCCGTCTGTTTCCCACAGGGTTGTCGGGTCTCATCTCTCGGTGGCTTCACCTGACTGAGCTGCCTGCCTTCTCCAGCCTATCGTCCAGGCCCCGCCTGGCTCCCTGTTCCCCCACACTGGCTTCCTGCTCTTCCTCCAAAGGTCTGGCTGGTTCCTGCCTCAGGCTCTGCCCATTGTTGCTGTCCCCACCACCCCCTACAAGCCCCCAAATCTTTGCCCAGTGTTTGTCCCCTCATTCTGTTCGGATCTTTGTTCAAATGTTGCTTCCTGAGGTACCCTGACCTCGACTCAAACAGCATTCCTTCTCTCGGACTATTGATTTGCCTCACTTTGTTTCTTCACAGCTCTTTCTATTCCTGTTTCTTGTTAATTCCTGAAATTATACTTTCTGTTTATTATCTTAATAGGCTCGTGGCTATCGTAGTCTGTTGAAGCTGTTATAATAGCATAAACTGGTGGCTTATCAACAACAGAAATTTCTCTCTCACAGTCCTAGAGTCTGGGATATCTAAGATCAAGGCACTGGCAGGTTTGGTGTCTGATGAGGGTTGCTTCCTGGTTCATAGGTGACACCGTCTCCTGTGTCCTCACATGGTGGAAAGGATGAGGGGGTCTCTCCTTGGGCTCTAATATAAAGGCACCAGTCCCATTCATGAGGATTCTGTCCTCATGACCCATCACCTCCTGAAGGCCCTGCCTCCTAATACCATCACTTTGGGATTTACAATTTCAACATACACATTTTGGGGAGGATATAAACACTCAGACAACAGCAGTAAGAGAGCTGTCTCGGCCGGGCATGGTGGCTCATGCCTGTAATCCCAGCCCTTTGGGAGGCTGAGGTGAGTGGATCACCTGAGGTCAGGAGTTCAAGACCAGCCTGGCCAATATGGCGAAATTCCATCTCTACTAAAAATACAAAAAGATTAGCTGGGCGTGATGGCATGCGCCTGTAATCCTAGCTACTGGGGAGGCTGAGGCAGGAGAATCACTTGAACCCGGGAGGCGGAGGTTGCAGTGAGCTGAGATAGCACCACTGTACTCCAGCCTGGGCCATAAGAGCAAAACTCCATCTCAAAAAAAGAGTGCAGTCTCCAAGGCCCAGCTCCTGGGGTTACTGCCCTGCCTGCCCACTTCCTGGCTGGGGGACTCAGACCTCTGCCAAATGGGGAAAAGGTATTATGTGCTTCCTAAAGTTGTGTGAGGACAAACATTCATCCACTCAGAGCGCTTACAGCAGGTGGCACGGGGTAAACACGAGCAAGATAATTTACCATCTGTCTCCTCCCTGGAATATCAACTGGATGAGGGCAGGACTTTTTCTTTCTGCACCTTCAGTTCCTGAGATATGGAGGCAGAGAATGGCTCAATGTTCCTCCTTCATGGGCCTCAGTCCTTATCCCACTGGCCTGACCACCCCAATAGTATGACCTTTGCCTCTTTACAGCAACTCCCTCCAGCTTTCCAGCCTGTCCTTAACCTGCCTTTGAGTCGTTGCAACTCCTTCTGGGCATTAGCTGTGTGGCCTGCTGGGAACTTCCAGAGGCTGGTAAAACTGACAAACCTTGGGAGACTGGTGACAGGCTTCCTTAGTTGAAATTTATCCTTTTCAGACTCGTAGCACCATTTGTGTGTAGCTGCTTAAGCTTTAGTGGGAGTATTTAAGAAACACGATTAATTGGAAAGTTTTATAGTATTCCAGGTATGTACATAGTGCACATAGATGTGACTTTATCTTACTAAGGTAACAAATGCTCTGGTATGTTTAGCAAGGCCTTGTGACAAAGCAGTGAGGCCACCTGTGCAACATGTACAACTAATTTTTTTTTTTTTTTTCAAAACAACACTCCTCAAAAAACTAAACATAGAGGTCCTCTATGATTGAGCAATTCCACTACTGGGTATAAATCCAAAAGAAAGGAAATTAGTATGTCAAAAAGATAGCTGCACTCCTGTGTCTACTGCAGCACTATTTACAATAGCCAAGAGAGGGAATCAGCCTACGTTCCCATCAGCAGATGAACAGATAAAGAAAATGTGGTACATATATACGGTGGAATATGATTCAGACATGAAAAAGACTGAGATCCTGTCATTTGCAGCAACATGGATGGAACTGAAGGTCAATATGGTAGTGAAATAAGCCAGGCACAGGAGGACAAATATCGTATGTTCTCCACTCATGTGGGAGCTAAAAAAGTAGGCGGAGAAAGGGAGGATGTAGAGATTAATGGGTACAAATATAGTTTGAAAGAAGACCTAGTGTTAGATCAGTAGGGTGTCTACAGTTGACAGTAATCTGTGCATTTCCAAATAGCTAGAAGAGAGTAATGATAAGACGACCCTAAGGGCAGAGCACAGGATACAGAAAAGTGGGATCGAACAGAGAAGAATCCCTTCAAGTTCCGGGTCGGAGCCCAATGTCAAGTCTTATTTCTTTTTTTTTCTTTTTTTTTTTTTTTTTTGAGACGGAGTCTCGCTCTGTCGCCCAGGCTGGAGTGCAGTGGCCGGATCTCAGCTCACTGCAAGTTCTGCCTCCCGGGTTTACTCCATTCTCCTGCCTCAGCCTCCCGAGTAGCCGGGACTACAGGCGCCCGCCACCTCGCCCGGCTAGTTTTTTATATTTTTTAGTAGAGACGGGGTTTCACCGTGTTAGCCAGGATGGTCTCAATCTCCTGACCTCGTGATCCACCCGTCTCGGCCTCCCAATTAAAGCTCCCCACACTCCCCAAGATACCTTTAGTTGGTGGGATTAGTTATCCTGTTAAAATCTAGATACAAAAATTAGGTTGGAAAAGAGAACTCCTAACTGGAGGCCAATCATGCTAGGCATTAAAAATGTCTTACTGTATTCCTCATCATCAGTTGCTAAGTGACATTTGAGAGTTGAACCCAGTCGTGACATCTGAAGCTCAGACACTACACACTGTATTTTCTGCTGTGAAGCAGACCTCAGAAAGTATGGTTAGATTCTGTGCAACCTTCAAAATGCTCTGGACTCAGTGGGTACAGCTCAGCTATCTGTACTTCACACAACACAGCTAGTCTAGGAAAGAGGCTGCCTTTGGCTTGACTGTGCAAATGTATTTTCTTTCTTTCCTGCCATGCTGGTCAGCAGTTACACCAAAGCTAGCTAGTATCAGCTTCTGAGTAGATGGTGATGATGATGGAGTCTTGGTATGCAACACTAGCTACTGGCACACTGTTTCCAGAGGGCTTATAGTGAATCATATGTTCAATGACAGCTGTATTATGTACAGTACTAAATAGTAATGGAAAACATGATTCCAGAAGAGAAAAACCAGGCCCTATAGCTGTCTTTCAGTATGCTTGGTATGCAGTGATATGCTTCATAGAAAATGGTATGTCTAATTTTTGACCATAACTTGAAGTAGAGAATGAGAGAGAGCTCTTAAAAGCACATACATGTACAGCTTGGAAGATGGGACTCACTTGGAAAAGTACAAATTATTGGGATAATGAGGTAAATCTTTTAAGCTATTTTATGTAACGTTAAGATACGATATAAAATAATTTTCATATCTGATAAAGCAAGACAAAGGGGAAAAAAACTGTTTCAAGTTAGATCAGCATTTCCCAAACTGATATTCAAAGGAACATTGTTTCATGAGATGTTAAAATGTACGTCTTAAAAAAAATTATATGGATGAAAGTTTAAGGAATAGTATATCTTAAAAAACTTCCCCCCGCCCCCAAGTATAACTATTTCTATTTCCAGGAGTGATCTATGCAAGAGAAACAGCTTGGGAAATGCTGGAATTTGACTGTAAGATACGCTTGGATATATGTATCTGGATAATTTACTCATGTGATCTCTTGGAACCAAGAATCCTTGGTTCCAAGAGTTCCTTGGGGAACTCTGATTTCTAGGAATACTTTGTAAACAAATCAATACACAGACAAATAGGTGAATAATCTGAATTTTCCAGTCCAGTGATTTTTGAAAGAAGGCATCCAAACCAAAAGATGCCCAGATCAGATTTTTACCCAACTAAGTAGTTAGTGTTTATGACAGTGAACCCCCTCTGACAGCTTCATCACCTCTAACAAGGGAGATGGAGTGGCTGAACAACTTATTTTCAAAGCTAACAAACATTCTATGACTTCACTGCTTGGAAAGTAACTTGCTGCAGAAAGGTGAAATGCTTTATTCTCACAGAAAACTCCACTTCTGGAGTCTGCCCCTCAATATGAAGAAACCGGAAGTAAAGCCTGTCATTCTTAAATAACATTTATTATTGTTGCAAAGAAGTCTTCTCCATGAGAACATTTCTCACATTTATTTAAAGATATAGAGGTTATGGATATAGAAGCAAATTTCGCTGAGGTGTTATATATAAGTGTGCCCGACTATGATCTTTAATTCAGCAATCTAATATTCACAATGTGTTTGTTGCCATTTAGCTATTTATCCAAACATGCCTTTTTTTTAAAAAAAAAAAAAAAAACCACGTGTGCCTAGACTGGGTGGAAAAAGAAACGTCAAGGGCTTGCTAAAAAGGAGAAGCCTAAAAAAGATAAAATTCCCACAGCAGTTCTGTTCAACTGTAGTCTGTGAGTGCAGGAATAATGTTCCCGTGGGGAAGCATTATGCCCAGTGGTTTCTCGGTTTGAACGTGGGAAAGCCCTTGAGGTTTTCTGTCGTTGCCAGGAGGAAGCAGGAAACTGTTTATGGAATCCAGTCGATGTTCAGGCACCGCGCTATGAACGCAAACATGTCTGAGACTTCCTCTATCACTTTGGCTGTGGGCTTCCCTGCCCCATGGCCCGCCTTGGTGTCCACGTGGATAAGCAGGGGGTTGCTTTGCTTCCTGCTGCGGCCCACGATGTACTGAAGGGTGGCGATGAACTTCAGGGAGTGAAGAGGGACCACACGGTCATCATGGTCAGCAGTGAGGAGCAGCATGGATGGGTACTGGATGTCATCTGCTTCCGGTAACTTCACGTTATGCAATGGAGAGTATCTGGAAGGCAAAAACACCTTTGTGAGGCTGGAGAGCAACAGTAGAGTTTTATGGCACAGGGACATAGGTAGTTTACTAGCAATGAGGACTGTAGTTAACTAGTATGTGAGTGACTACCACAGACTGTGCTTGCATTACCATTTAGGCCATAACTGGCAAGGGTTCCCGGAAACTGGGGAGCTGTGTCACTTATGTGGCTCCAACTTTGAAAGACTGTAAGAAGGAATCTCACAGGGCTGCTGAAACAACGCAAATCATAGGCACGCTTACTGCCAAAAAGAAGTTTTAATGTCTGTTTACTCATTGTTATCAGCATAGTGGTTGCAGGATACGAGGGAAGTTGTATAGGATTTCAATAATGTTTCAAACGTGTAGCTATACTGAGCATAAAAGAAGTTTAACTGTACTTGAATATATTCCTTTTTTTTTTTTTTTTTTTGAGACAGGGTCTTGGAATGCAGTGGTGTGATCCTGGCTCACTGCAACCTCTGTCTCCCCGGCTCAAGCCATCCTTCCATCTCAGCCTCCCGAGTAGCTGGAACTACAGACATGCACCACTATGCCCAGCTAATTTTTTAGAGACAGTGTTTCACCACATTGCCCATGAACGACTGGTCTTGAACTCCTAAGCTCAAGTGATCTGCCTATCTTGGCCTCCTAAAGTGCTGGGATCACAGGTGTGAGCCACCATACTCAACACCCTCTTCCCCTATTTTTGACCTACCATTTCAGGAGCATATATTCTTTGCTTAACTTAGAAAAGGAGATCCCATATATGGATATAAAGTATAATAATACCTTTTGATTGCTACAGTAACAAATTACCACAAATTTAACAGCATGAAACATCACAGACTTCTTATCTCACAGTTCTGTAAGTCTCAGTTGGCTCAGCTGGGTTCTCTGCTCTGGGTCTCCCAAGGTCAAAGTCAAGGTGTTGGCTGGTTGGACTCTTACGGGGAAACTCTGGAAAAAACCTACTTGCAGTCTTGGGATGTTGGCAGAATTCAGTTGTGTGCGGCTGTGGGACTTAGGTCCTGTTTCCTTGATGGCTGTTGGTTAGGGGTTGCTTAAAAGTTCTAGAGGTCCCGCTTCCTCCATCGTCAAAGCCGGCAATGGCAGGCTGAATCCTTTATATGCTTCCAATTTCTTTGACCTCCCTTTTTGCTGCATCCCTGACTCCAGCCAGAGAATGTGCTCAGCCTTTAAGGGTTTGCATGATTTGGGACCCCTCAGGTACTCCAAAGAGCAGCAGATTAATATCCTGCTCCCTCACAGCAAGCAGTACCTAGATAAGTGTCTGAATAACAAGGGTAGGAATCTTGGGGGGCCATCTGTAGAATTCTCTCCTACCACATTTTTGTAGTTTGTTGCTTTTGTTAAAGACTATATTAAAACAAGACAGACAAGTAGGTATTCCTATGTCTTCTCCAGTAGATTATATGCAAATGCAAGGCACTGAAGGTGACAAGGCTCAAGCACTAATCCTGTGGTCACTGTGTTCAACTTTACATTAAACCACTAACAACATATATATGTCAATAAAACCTTACTTGACAAGCCATTCAAAGTGTTGTTTGCTGTCCGAGCACCCATAATCAGTGGTCCAAGCATGGCCGATGGTGTATTTATGAAACTTCAGCATGTCCATTACTCCAACTTGGGCAATAACACAACCAAACAGGTCAGGTCTCTGATTTGCACAAGCAGCTAAAAACCCAAGGTAGAAAGAAAAGGGAGGCAGTCTATCATTAAACAAAGCAAGGCAATACTTCCAAGCTTCCAGAGCCCTGGTTGCATTTATCCTCAGAGCATAGGAGGAAACCATCAGAAATCACCTGCCCAAAGGCCCCAAAGCTCCCCACCCTCTCCGATATCTGTCAGAGGCGTGGGGATTCTCATCAGTAATAGAGCGTTACTCCCCAAAGTGAATGTTGAAAAGCTTGAGGACTTTCTGGAAACCCTGTATCCCCTCCTCCCATCCTTTCACAGTGAGAAGGGAGATTAAGGGACTTGTTCAAGATCTCAGGACCTGCCCAAGGCAGAATAGGGTCTCTTTGTATGTCATTTATCAGATGCCCAAATACAAATGGTACAAATAGGTTTTGCTCTCCTTATACCACTTTGTGGTCCTATCCACAAAGTAAATCAAGAGCTGCCTACAGATGGTGTATCTGAAAACCCCAAGAGGGCTAACTAGTAAGTACAATGAATAAAATCCAGTACTTACCCACTAAGAGGCCTCCATTTGAACCTCCATTAATAGTCAGCCTCTTGGGAGATGTGTAACCTTCCTTGATCAGATACTCAGCAGCGCACTGAAAGTCATCAAAGCAGTTCTGTTTGTTGGCCAAGATACCACCTACAATGTGCCAAAGTGGAAGAAAGTTAATTAACAAAACATAAAAATCAGTTTAAAGGGAATTCAAATGATAGGGCACAGTTTCAACTACTGATTAACTTAAAAACCACGGGTTAACACTGCATTTAAAAAAAAGCCTCAATTTAAGTTCTGTTATGCACTGTGGAAATATATCATCAATACCACAATGCTAATCCATATGGTGGATCTGTATTTTTCTAAAAGCCTCTAGAACTTAAACAGGAAACGCCCCAAAGGGAACAGATGGTTGGTTCTAAGAGAAGCATGATAATGAAAGGATAGCAGCATGGCATCACAAGGAACCTGTATTTTGGGAAGCTGAACTTACAAGTATAAAGCAAGACCTGCAGCAGTGTTTAGTCCTCTGGGTTGCACCCGGCACCCGAGTCGGAGCTGGCCGTGGGAGTGCTCGTGCCTCCCCTCCCTGCAAAGATGGAGGTGGAAGTGCTCTGCAGAGGCACGCTTCCCACCCCACCTCTGCAGGAGTCTGACATGGTCAGGGATGGGGAGAAAGAAATTCCCCAGTCTTGCTCTCGGTTGTTAATGGAAAGAACCAGCAGGAATTGGGTGGTGAGGTAGTGCTGCCGCAGAGCATCACATTATGGTTTCTCAATTCCAGAATGAAAGATCTTCAACATTTCCCCAGAGAATCTGGGCTTTATCATCTGCAAATCATTCCAGTGTATTAAACCAAACAAATTACTTGGAGAAACATTTACAGGGCCATGAAATATCTATAAGTAAAGGCCAAAAGTCAAAAGCAAGTCCTCAAAGGAACAGATGTCTGAAATCACTGCCTTTGAAATGAACAAAGACCAGACACAGATCTAATTAGATATTTGAGATTAACCACTTCTGCTGAAATTTAATTAAAGACAAAGCAGTGCTACTGAAATGTTTTTCATATCAAAACAAATGTTAAGATTTCAGTAAGAAATTACCAGTGAATTTAGAATAGCTAGGATTACTTAGTTACCAGGAATAACAGTATTTTGGGTAAATGACTATATTTTAAAAAGAGCATTAAATTTTAAAGTCAATTAACAGAATGGAATTCAGATTTACCAGTGTTATATCCTAGGCTATAACTGGAAAAGGTCTATTTCTGGTCCTTTCATCATGGCCTAAATTTTGAGGAACTTTATAAATCAGTCTAAACATAGTCTACTGTTAGCCTTAGTCCCAAGACTGGAAACTAACTTGGTTCTAATTAATAAAAGAATGAGAGAGCAGACCAGGAGTAAAGTTACTCTTCCCTATCAGAGCATGGTGGACATCTGATGACCAAAGGGGTTTTCTGGAGAAGAATCCAGTTCTTTCAGGAGAGGATCCCAGGATCAGGGGACCATCAGTAGGGGGTATGGTACATAAACTACATACAACTTAAATAAGAAATGAGGTGAGTTAAGGGGTTCAGAATTAGCACACATATTTGGGATGTAAATCACACATATGGTATACAGAAATTTTATCCTCTTATCACTCATCTTTTAATATCAGTTTCACAGTATGATTTTAGTGTAAAATCTAGTATCAGCTCAATATTATGCAATGAATTCTTTGCAGTTTCAAAGATAGTCACAGTCAGTAGTTTCTGGGGATGATACCTGGCAATGGTGGACCAGATGGCCAGCCAGGGGCACTCACTTTCACTAAGGTGCACTTGAGAAGTCTGCTGTCAGCCCCTGGGGTGCATGTTGGATGCCCAGGGGTCAGGCCTAAGCCTTTCCTGCATACGGTACCTAACAGGTTCTTACAGGAATCTCTTTATAGGTTTATCCTCATGTTTGCTGATTTGATTTGATGCAAAAACCTCAGGTTTGGGATGGTGTAGGAAACAGAAAGGAGGTACAGATATCTGAAGCGTGGTCTCTGATACTGAGGAGATCCCTCTCACGTAGAGCTGCTGACCAACCCCAAGCACTGGGGGCCATGCTGGTGTCAAGACTGGGGGAAGCACAGAGCTGGTGGAGGTGAAGGTGCTTTCCTGTGTCCTCCCTCCCCTAAAGACACAGGACCAAGACAAGTGAAGAACCTCTTCAGACCACTGGTTAGTCTATGAATTCAATTTCAGATACACAAAAGCCTGGGTGAGGGGTGCTCCACATAGAAAGAAGTGGAAGAGATGTGGTTTTAAAATACAGACGATCATTCAAAAAAATTGTGACCATCTGGGGTATAAAGTTGGGTATTAGTCAATCGGCTACAATACATGCTTCAGGAGGCCAGAGAATGGAGATGGAATAAAACTAGAAAAGAAAAATCACTGTTTTTATGTCTAAAACTCACGCACAATAGAGTCACAGCAGCAATGCTAGGAGGATGCGATTTCTCAGCAATGCCGGGAGGATCTGAGAAATCCAGCAGGAGGATGCCCACACTGGGAACAGAAAGCTCCAAGATTGCTCCTTTCTCTTAAGAGAAAATGACCTGCCTTGACTTCTGTTTCAAGACAGTCAACTCATGCTAAACTATAAAAACAAGGCTAACAGGAGACAGAATAAATACCAAAAAGCTTTCCAAGATTCACTCCTGACAGTGATAATTAAAAACACAACCTATGAGTTAAGCCCCAAAATAACAGGGAATGCTTCTGAAAAATATGTACGTCATCTATTTATTGTAACAAAGGAAAATAAAATCTGAAAAGAGTGAGTTGTTTTTAAGGGGGGGGGTGGTGCCTAAATGTGTCTGATAATATCCTTGTTTTTCATTCATCTAGCCAAAAAGCTTTTCTGCTTCTAACCCCCTCAGCTCATTCACACAGGAGGGATGAGCACAACCTTAGCTTTGATTATGTCAGACTTGTGTTTCTGTAGAGAAAACACCTCACCTTTATGCCACGTCTCTCCATATTCGCCACCTCCTCTGATGTTGGCCACTGCCAGGATACCGCCCATGTGTCTCACGAAAATAAGCCTGGAAACACTGAGAAGCAGTAAAAACAGTTAACCTTCCATTAACTGTCTAGTGAAGACCATGCTCTCTCTCCATCTCAAAAAAGTGTATGCCCAACAACACTCTGAGTAATATCATCAAAATAGGAGCTTGACATTTCTTTTATTGCTTGACTAAAGTGAAAAATACGTAACTTCCTATTAATACTTAACTGCAAAGCTAATATATATACATATTTTTTGAGACAGAGTCTCACTCTGTCACCCAGGCTGGAGTGCAGTGACACAAACATGACTCACTGCAACCTCCATCTTCCAGACTCAAGTGCTCCTCCAGCCTCAGCCTCCTGAGTAGCTGGAATTATAGGTATATGACACCATGCCTGGCTAATTTTTGTATTTTTAGTAGAGACGGGGTTTTGCCAAGTTGGCCAGGCTGGTCTTGAATTCCTGACCTCAAGTGATCCGCCCGCTCTGGCCTCCCAAAGTGCTGGGATTACAGGCGTGAACCACTGCGCTCAGGCAAAGCTAATATGTTTTCATGAGCATTCAGTGTCTTCTTTTTCTACATTGATAAATATTTCACTACACAATTCATAATATAAACAGAGAAAAAAAACAAAACACTGCCAGCCAGGCATCAATGGTGCTGGGCTCACAGGAGGACCTGATAATAGTCCCTTTTATCATTTTTTGAGTTAACTTTCTCTAAACTGTTTAAGTTGGAAAAAAGAAAAAGCTTTTTCTGGAACATGGATTTTTAAACATGTTTTCCAGTTCTACAGAAATTTCTATGGTAAATTAGCCAACACAGGGTGTGCAAGAGGTAAAGGAGATCAGGAATAGAGTTATCAGGGTTGGAGAATATTTTCTAAAGATAAGCAGAAGAAACTACAGCACAAACCCTCTAGGAAACAGCATTCAGTCCTTTGGAAAATTTGGATATTGTTTCCCTCTTCTCTTTCCATGGTGACCCTAAAAGTACTGAGTGACATGCTGTTAATTAAAATTAACTGTGCTTTGAGAACTATTTTGGAGAACTGTGTCACTCTTTTAGTAACTGGGGAAACCATGGGCTTCTATATACTGAAGGCTCTCAATGGTTTGAATGCTAATTTCCTGCATATTGAGGATGAACAGGAAAGGTCAGATGAGTTAGGGTAGATGTATCAGGCCATCCAACCACACCTTATTAGCCAAACTGATGTTTGATCACTTGGTCCTCTCCAAGATTTTCATGCATCTCTGATGGTCTCTCCTGAGACTATTATTAAATGCACTGGGTTCTGGGATGAAAATGGCCCCAGGACTCATCTCTTGAATCCCAACGGGGCAGGCTTAATAAATGCTTGTTGCCCAAATGAACAAAGACAAGTGGTTTTAGCTACAGTAGATCCACTTGGGAATCAGTGTTGTTTTGATCATGGCCCACCTGCTGGGACCCAGGGAATGGGGCTTGAGGTGACTCATTGTCCACTGATGAAGCACGCGTTCACTGCCCCAAACTCGAGCATCGCTGTGAGGTAAAACTGAAGCCTGCATTTTAATACTTTGAGTGATATAAGGATTAGGTTAATATAATACACCCCAACATTTATCGTCTTTTTTATTATTTTTTTTCAAGGGGCAAGGTTGCTCTACCTGAGGCTTGCATTCTTAGACTAATAATGTTAGAGAATAATATGGCATGTAATATTACACAGATATCAATGTGTTAATATTACATATTTGTTATTACAATCATAACAAATCTTGTTGCCTGGGAAACTGGAAAGAGATGGGAAGTCCCCATATCTGGAATGTTGCCTGGTATATGGAGCTGTCAGTATAGAATGAATGAACAGCAACCGTTATGACACTTTTCTAACTAGTTTCCCTTCATTTGCTCATATGATGATGCCACATATATCTTTCGAAAATACTGCTCTACATCGTGATTTTACACAAAGCCTCCCATCAGCTCCTTGCTAACAAAAGGATAAATGCAAACTCTTCAGCCAGTTATTTGAGGTCCACAATTTCATTATAAATCACTTGAGGGCAGGCATCATATTTCATACTTCATTAAATCTAAAATAACGAGCTTCTACAGATATTGAGTGCTCAAAACAAAGTACCAGTGTTCTTGTATTCAACTTCGGGACAGATGGTTGAATCTATTCTGAATTTATGTCCTAGTAGTCACCAGTCCATGAATCTCTTCCCAAACAGAAAAGATCCTGGATGAATCTGTGAATCAGATTTCATATGGGGTTCTATTTAGAAGTTGGCTCAAAGCTAGTCTTGCTGGTGGGAACCTCCTTGTTTTTATTAAAAGTGGTCAAAGCAAATTCCATTTTATACTAGCAATGGGATATTAAAATCAAGTTTGCAAATAACAGAAGATATTTATACCAACAATTGCAAACATATAAATGTAGAATTTTCTCCCTGAACGTAGTTATCTGGGAAATAATCACAGAAACAGCACACAACAGTCTAAAATAGATGATGTAACAGAGTACACAGAAAACATTTATGGCTGAACGTTAAGACAGTCTATTTTAAGACTCTGCTGGTGAAAAATATCATCCGCTAAGAAATCATTCCCTCTGAAGGGAATACTGAAGGTAGTGTGGTGGCAGCAAATGACAAGCACTGAAGAAAGGAGCTTCCTTTAAGACCTCGATTAATACTAATCTTCTGTAGTCATGCAGCCATAGCCTCCCCATCCAGTTCCCAAACAACCTATTACACTGAGGACATTTTTGGTTGTTTTTCAAAATTAGCTTGTAAATGATTCTTCAATTCCTGGTCAAAAATTCAGATAATTAACACATAATCCTGCCCATCTATGAAAACAAGCAGCAAGAATTTTGCAGAACTGTATTTTATTTGAGATAGAGTTTCGTTCTTGTTGCCCAGGCTGGAGTGCAGTGGCGTGATCTTGGCTCACTGCAACCTCTGCCTCCTGGGTTCAAGTGATTATTCTCCTGCCTTAGCCTCCCGAGTAGCTGGGATTACAGGCATCCACCACCACGTCCAGCTAATATTTTTGATATTTTTAGTAGATACGGGGTTTCACTACGTTGGCCCGGCTGGTCTTGAACTCCTGACCTCAGGTGATCAGCCCGCCTTAGCCTCCCATTATAGGTGTGAACCACCACGCCTGGCCAGTAATGTATTTTAGAAAGTTGATTTAGTAGAGCACTCTGGTTTGTTTCCACTATATGGAAAAGATCAAAGACTAGCACTCTGAGTGTGTTCTGAGCTCACCTGTAGTTGGGTGTGATGGATATGTTGAAGCCGCCATAGCCATATAAGAAAGCGGGATGAGAGCCATCCAATTTTATGCCTTTTTTATGCACAATGAACATTGGAATCTTCGTAGCATCCTTGCTAGGGTAGAAAATCTAGAACATAAGAAAGCAGAATATAAGATTTAGCATTACTTAGTAAATACTGCATGCCTTTAAATGGGAAAGATAGTAAATTCTCTCTTTATGATGTACAGTAGCACAATGAAAACCTAGCTCCTCTAAAGGGCTATTTGGTGAAGCATCTTTCAGTTTTTATGGAGAGAATGTAGAGCAGTTTAAAGAGCCTGCATTTGAAAACAGGGAGACCTGCATTGGAATTCTTATTCCACAACTGTCTTGCAGGATGCCCTTCACATACCATTTATCCTCTCCCAGCCCCAATTCTGCATCCCCACATGTGGCCGTTGTGCCCACCTCTCCAGGCCTTCCTGAGGCACACAGAAAACAGGCTTTCCATTCTCTGCTCCTTCTCATCCCTCTCAGTGCTGGGAGGGGCAGATTTGCCATCTTGCCAAGCAACTCAATCTAGTGAGGCTTATATTCCAGAAAACAAATTTCATATTCAACTTCCTCTCTAAATGTTAAGATGCTCGACGTCATTTTTCTATGCTGAACTACTAAACAAATGCTAGCAGCAACAAAAGTTATTAGCTTAGAAAGTTGATGAGGAAAAACATAGAAATCCTATTATTCCTGGTTAAACAAAGACCCTTCTCTCCACTATTGATAATTAAGGTTCATAAAGCCTTCTTGAATCTGGGCTACCTCTGGCAAGTTCAAAGTCAACATCTCCATATCCTTTTGGATAAAGGATTTAAAAAAAAAGGCATAAGGAAGGGAACATTAAAAGTTAGTCAACTGATAAGCCATAGAATAAATAAGCCACAAAAAGCTGATAATGCTTTTTTTCCCGAAAGGAAAGCTGTGAATAGCTTTCTCTTTGTGTAAACATGGTGATTTTACCCCCAAACAACCCCTGGAAAGTGCCCCAGTTTGGAATCATCTTGTTGACCTTATGTTCCAGTCATGGGCATAAGCCTTTACACTTCATGTGACCTGGAGCCATATTTTATCCATAACTTTTTAAGGTAGCAGTTCTGTTGTGCAAAGTTGCCACAAAGTCCATAGAAATAACCATGGGGGGTGGGGGAGGTGTGTGGAGGGGGAGAATGGGCAGGGATGCAGATTTAGAGATAGGAGTTAGAGGACCGTGATAAATGCCTGCAATCTGGTAGTTTTCTGAAACCTGCCAAGAAACAGTAACATAAAAAGCATTTGTTTCGGACTCTACAGAGAAATACTGAGAGATACATTTAAATTTGGCATCTGAGGAATCATGGAGAATACTCTGTTCAGAGTTCAAAATTATCAGAGGGAATACAGTTTTATTTAAAGTTATTTAGTGCCAGTTAGCAGCCACCAATAGAATGTAACTGTGTGGGTAGGTACAAGTAAACACGGAGTAAGAGGAACAAGTTCCAAGGGACTGGCTGGGATTAGTGAGCTAAAATACATAGCCTTCAACTCAAGAGTTAGAATTCAGAGCACTATACCCACAGAGGCAACAGCATCAATGAGCAAGCGAGCAAACCATCTCACATGAGGCTACCTTCACTGAATCATCTGTTCAAAAACTCAAATTCCCTCCAACTACCCCCAGCTTCTCATCTAGTTTCAAATCCAGGTGCAGCTCAATTCTCCCCAGGCTGACCCCTTCTCATGTACCTTGGTCTTCATGCAGCCAGCTGGACTGATACACTCTTCATCCCGGCTAACTGACTCTCAGACCCTCCATCATTCCCAAAGTGCTCTATCTCTTGATGCTTCATGACAATTCAACTTCCTCCTCCCATCTCACTTTTCTTGCTACCACCTGTAAGATTTCTAGTACCTGAAAGCCAGCCTGCAACTCACTTATCTGACTCCAGGACAAAGGCATCCTTGGAGAATGCCACTGAAAGCACAAAGTTCCCATTATCCCCGCAGTTGCAGAAATATATCCAAGCTTTAAGTTGGTGTGGTTCTAATGTTGAAAACAGTATTTTGAATGCAGTCCAAAATGAAAGAACACTGTGAAGATGACTTCACTGTGGGCAAGAAAACTCCTTACAGGAAGTTTCTGTATTTTAGTCTTGAAATAAACATACAGGCATACCTTGGAGATATACTGAGTTTTTGGTTCCAGACAACCACAATAAAGCAAATAAGGCTATAGTTGACATACATTCCTCTGATGGATCTGGGTAAAGTAAATTGAAAACCTTCTAGAAAGGATTTACCATTCTAGACACCATGAAGAACATTCATGATTCAAGGGAGGAGGTCAGAATATCCGCATTAATAGGAGTTTGAAAGAAGTGATTGTAACGCTCACGGATGATTCCGAAGGGTTCAAGATTTCAATGGAGGAAGTCACTGCATTATGTGGTGGAAATAGCAAGAGAAGGAGAATTAGAAGTGGAGCTTGCATATGTGACTGAACTGCTGAAATCTCACGATAAAACCTGAAGTTCAAAAAATCAAATTCCCTTCATCTACCCCCAGCGAGACCAGCCTAGACAACATGACATGGCAAAACGCTGTCCCTACTAAAAACACAAACATTAGCTGGGCGTGGTGGCGCGTGCCTGTAATCTCAGCTACTCAGGAGGCTGAGGCAGAAGAATAGCTTGAACCCGGGAGGTGGAGGTTGCAGTGAGCTGAGATGGTGCCACTGCACTCCAGCCTGGGTGACAGAGTGAGGCTCTGTCTCCAAAAAAAACCGTAACAACAAAACATGAAGAAAAGGCCGGGCAGGGTGGCTCACACCTGTAATCCCCGCACTTCGGGAGGACAAGGCAGGAGCATCACCTGAGGTCAGGAGTTCAAGACCAAGCTGGCCAACATGGGGAAACACCATCTCAACTAAAAATACAAAAAAATTAGCTGGGCGTGGTGGTGGGCACCTGTAATCCCAGCTACTTCAGGAGACTGAGGCAGGAGAATTGCCTGAATCCAGGAGGTGGGGGTTGCGGTGAGCAGAGATCTGGCCATTGCACTCCAGCCTAAGTGAAACTCTGTCTCAAAAAAAAAAAAAAAAAAAAAAAAAAAAA